GCCCGGGGGGGGGAAACCCGGGGGGGGCCCCCAAGGGAAAAGTTGTAAAAAGACGGCCAGTGAATCATAAAAGGGATAATGGGGGGGGGGGGGGGGGGGGGGGGTCACCGGTGGTACGCCCTAATAGGCCTACCTGTCCGGCTTGGGCCTGGATAACCTCTCTCGAGTCGGGGTTGGCAGGGTCGGCGGGGATGATCTGCATCAGGCGAACGAGCAAGCAGCACCAGCAACGGCAGCACCATGGCCGCAGCGAAAATGGGAGACGTGGGGCGAAATGTGGTGAGGGAATCGAAAGGGGTCATGTGGAGCGAAAGGCGAGAGGCACGAGAAGGGGATTCAGTATTTTCATTCCTCGAGGCGATACAGCAACAAATCAGCAGCAAAACCTTATCTTTCGGGAGAACCTTCCAAGATGACCTCGAATGGTGTGAGGGGGGCGGGGGCGGCGCAATATGCCGTAAGTACACTCGGAAACATCGGGGAAAAGGTGGGCGACAATACAGAGAATGGCAGCAAACACAACAGAATGACATCAACAACAGAAGACCACAGGCGTGCCTACAACGTACAGCAAGGTAGTTCTCTTGAACTCCGCCTTGAACGTGGACGACGATCGTCGTTTCGGCACACAAAAAAACGCACAATAAGCTGAATAAAGATTTGTAGACTCTTCTTTTTGGTTCGGTGAGGTTTGCTGGGCTGTTCGAGTCAAGAACACGTGAGCTGTGTCAGCTGTTATAATAGATCTTGGGAACCGTGACACTGCAGCTGTCAGCTGATTCGCACCAGCACATGCTTTACTGTCATCTTGCATCACACCGAGATGACGCTACTACATACTATGCTCTGGTCAACCCACTCCGGAGGCGCGCCCTTCAAACGGTACCGGATATACTTGTCAGCACACCTTGACGCTGCTACTACCATGCTTTGGTGTACCCGCTCCGGAGGCACGCCTTGCAAACGGTACACTGGATAAAAACAGGTGTATATATATAATAGTTAGTGTGGGTTATTGGCACCTGCTCGCTGAGGCGTGTCTCGACGTTGATCACGCCCATGGGGATACCGCCAATCCTCGCCCTCCCCACGACGACGGACTTGCCCCACCCGCTCAGGTACTCCTGGTAGGAACCGCGGTCGAAGAACCCGGGCACCCAGCTAGAACCGTCGCTACCGACCTGGAAAAGGTTAAAAGAAAGAGCAAACGGCGGTGGGTATCATGGACGAGTTAACACGAGCACAAAAAATGGTACGTACCCATGGAACCGTCGTTGCTAACCTGAAAAAAGGAGAGGAAACGGCGGTAGCTAACACGATATTTCAATGTGTAAGAAGAGCGTCGCTGCCTACCTGATAAAAGAGGTACAGAAGAAAATTGCACACAGCGATAGGTACCCATGTAACAAGAGCGTCGCTGCCAAAAGGTACAACAACAGGCCAAAGCACACAGCGATAGGTGCCATGGTATTTGATTAACACGAGTGTCGCTGCCAACGTCGTTGCTAACATGAAAAATTTACAACAACAGACGAGTGCACAACGATCGGTATCCATGGAATTGACCAACACGAGCTCGCTGCCAACCTGAAAAAGGTACATGGAACGCTAGAAGTGCACAGAGCAGTGTTGGTACCGCGCCTAAAACACCCCAAAGGGAGAAGAAAAGCCCCAAAAAATAAGAAGCCACGCAACAACGTGTGACCCAACCCGAACAGCAAAAGCAGCTCAAAATCCACCCAACAGCATGGCATGTACCGTGCCATGAATATACCACGGTACACACCTTTCCGCGGCACAGGTCACGCGGGTCGTACGGCGCCTTCGTCGGGTAAACCGAAACCTGACACCATAGAAAACAACGCCCCCCAGGTGCAAACCCAGCGCACCGGAGAGGGGACAAGCAGACAAGAACGACGGAAAGGGTGGGTGTGGGGTTCGAGAAAGGTTAAGGACGCATTCCTTCCAAGAATGTAAGCCGGACTTCAAAACGCGAAGGCAAGCAAGGCGGATCGGCGCAACACCTTATACGAGTTGCTGCCCAGAAGCGAACCCGGCGCTCTGATGCATCAAAATGGTGTAAGGCGATGGGAAAACCCAATGTTTCCCACTAAACCGGATAAAACAGCGGTGCAGTACGGGGCGTCGTTGAATCTTTCGCTGTAATACTTGCACGGAAGTATGTGATAACAGACAGCGAACTTAGAAAAACTGCCGAGGCTGCCAGCGGATCAGAGGGAAAAATGTTGGTGCTGTCAACCGAACAACCTGAATTTTCACGTGCACGGAAGAATTCGGAACGTACATCTACGTTTTTGTTTAGCGCACAGCTAAATATTTCACGCCGGATCAAAGGCGCAACACCGCACGTTTATCCCCCCCCCCCCCCCAAAAAGGAAGGAGAAACGGGACACCCAAACTATCGGCGTTGTTCGTTCTCCCAAGCCCTCTTCTTAGGTTGTTCCGAGACAGAAAGTAGACCGGGTATAAAGGCGAAACGTTATCATCCGGCAAAAAAACGATAAATTCGGTGCCGGTTGGTGCAGCGCCCCCACCCATGCTTGCTCTTTTCTTCTTGCTCATTGGGTTGTGTACAACTTTTTTTTATCACGGCACCACGAAAAAATAAATAAATAAAAAAGCTCCCAACGACTGGAATACCACAGCTGTCATCGATCCGGCAGCGTTCTTAAATCTGTGTTGTACAAACATTTGCGATATTTGAACCAGTCCGTGACCTCACCTCACAACGAGAAGCAAGGCATTCTTGTCTTGGGAAGATTGTCACAAAAAGACGCAGATCGCAATGGAGATAACACCCTCCCACCCACATTCTGCTGCTGCATACACCCATCTCACAATGGTATAACAGCACTAAAATACTTGGCTTTTTTGGTACATTTTTTTTTAATTGTTTTGGCCGGACTGTCGATTTTCGACTTGATTGTTTGCGTGTCATCGGGATACCACCGCCATGCCATACTTTGCCTCCCCGTCTTGCCGCCTTCGTGATAAAACGACGGTCGGTTTGAACATCCTTCGTGTGCGCCGCGCTTCCGGGTCACTAGGCATGGTGGCAGTGACCCGGAATCGCTGCCCACACGAAGGTTGCACGAACCGACCGTCATTTGATCACGGAGGCGGCAAGACGGGGGGAGGCAGTAACTGCCTGCCCGTCTTACCGCCTGCGTGCTACCACAACGCAAGCCAACCCCAGCACCCAACGAACCAGCCGACAACCACGGAGAGGCGTAGGTAGCTCACCCACCTCATGCTCGACGGGGGTCAGTCACGGGGCGCACGATTGTTAGCCACGTACATACCGATCCCGGGTGCTACACCCACATCAATCATACTATAGCACAAGTCACCCTAGCACCAACCAACAGGCAACCACGGAGTGGGGGGCCCCGTGATGTAGATAGGTAGGCACCCACCTCGCGCTCGACGGGGTCAGTGACGGGCCGGGCGACCGGCAGTGAGCCCGCGGTCTTGGGCACGTACGACAGCCACTGCAGGATTCTGTCCACGCCCTCCTGGTCGTTGCCAACCTCCAGGTGGCTCACGCCGTTCGGGTGCATCACCTGCGTCGCGTCGCCGCAGAAAAAAAAACAAAAAAAAACGCAGAAATATATAATTGGGTGCTGTTTTATATTCAATTCTATATTTCTTGGGGTTAGTACAGGACCGATGTTTTGTGGGTTTTTGGAGGACAAGTCCCACGGTTAAAAAAGGAGCACACACACACACACACAACAAGCTGTGTCGTGTGTTGGCCTTGGTATGCATATTTTTTGTATGCGGATGATGCTTTTACTCCTGCCTGAGGGGGCAGGGCCGGCCGTCGAGCGGCGCTATTCACAGGAACCGGCGCTATTCCACGCGTACAAAATTACTGCAGGTGTTTCAGTCTGTGCCCAGCAAATTCACCAGCGTGAATCAACCGGCGTTATTGACGCCCCCCCGCTGTAATCGGGCACTGCAGCATGTTGAGGTTAAAGCTCCCCCAACCGCACGGCGAGTGAAGAAGGCGAGTCAACGACTGCTGTGTCTTGGCCCTTCACAAAGGTTGCGACAACTAGAACGAAGCGTGGAACATGGTGGTAGCCCAACCCCCAACAGCACCACGATGTTGCCGTGTTATAGCAGGCCATCGTCATCTCACCTGGGGCCCTCCAAGCTGGTCCTGCGAGGTGTACACCTCCCTCCCGAGGAGCTTGTTCAGGGCGGAGAAACCGGTCAGGATGATCGGGCCGTTCCTGCAAAAACAAAGAGAAAGAAAAAAAAAAAGTACAAATGTAAAAAAGAAGAGAAACGAATCGTGAGTGAAAGTGCCAAAACTTTTCTTTTTTTATACTTTTTACAAAAGACAGGAGGCCGACGACGGGCAAGACGTTGTTGTCATGAAGCAAGACGGCTTGAGCGGGACACTCGTTGCGCTATAACCTGCCTCAATACTCTGTCTCTCTCACTGCCTCAATACTACCTCTCTCCGTGTCAACACTTTCCCTCTCTCTCTCTCTCTCTCTCTCTCACAGTCTTGATCATACTGTGTGTGTGTGTTTTGTCTTTGTCTCTGTCGGTCGGTCGGTTTGTTTGTCTGTCTGTCTGTGTCTCTCTTTCCCCCCCCACTCTGTCTCTCTCTCTCACACACACCTCATCTGGATCGTCCTCTGGCCAAGCCTGACGAGGTAAGCGCCGATGCCCACGGAGCGCCCGGTGACGTACGACAGCGTGAAGGCCTCGTCGTACGCACGAGACGTCTCACCGGCGATCATGCCCGAACCGCGAAGGTTCTCCACTCCGATGCCGTGCACCTTCGACAATAGCAAGAGCGCACAAGCAGAAAAGGGGCCCCGCAAGCGTGAGGCTAGGCACGACCATGGGACACGCACACCCATTTACAAGTGTTTTGTGTTTTCAACCGCACTGAGACTGACGTCTTTTCATTGGTCACCCGGTTAGCGCGGTCGATGCTAATAATAATAATAAAAAAAACACACACAGCTGCATCGGCGACCATTGCCCGCCTTGCGATGGTGGTCAAAGTAGCCGCTCCAAAGCAGGGCAAACCATGCTCTACATGACAGAGGTGCCCACATATACAGCAACGAGAGGGAAGGAATGCGCGTCCAATCATCCACGCACGCACTATTCGTTGACAACACTCCCATGCACGCACAGTACACGAGCCAACAGAACAACAAGTTCAGCCGACCAAACGTGAGAAGTAAAGCCCACAAGTCGACCGTGCTCTTGCGCTTCTCAAACCTACCATCAAGCGCACACAGACGCACCTGTCCGATGATGTCGGTGAGCGCGTAACGCTTCTCTCCCCCCTCCACCACCTCCCGCGCGTTAACGGTGCCCTCCTCGAGGGCCTCGTAGTCCTCCGCGTTGAGGTACAGGTACTTGAAGCCCTGGGCGGGGTTCGACTCGTCATTCCATGCCACCTGTTCAAGGAATCATGCAGGACACAAATAAATGCGGGGGGGGGCGAAGGTAGGGAGAGACCGCCAAGGGCATTGTTGATTTTGTTGGTGCGATATTGGAGAAGAGCTAGGCAACGATGGTGTTCGAATCATACGCGAACAAAGGTTGAAAGAGAAGACCAACCGTCCAGAGCATGAAATACGACAGCGCTTGGTGTTGTGCTTGGGGGAGTGTTACTGGCGTCTCCGTCGCCGCCGACCTCACAACGCCCATCGTCTTTCTCAAACATCTAACCCGCCCGACGTGTTGCTTCAAGCAAACAGAACCCAATCTTTGAAAAATGACACACGAAACAGCAAGAGACAAAACGCCTTCTGGGTTGGAGAGCCACGCGCTACTCCCTCCCATACCGACCAACAAAACACGAAACAACGGTAACGAACCACAAAAAAGGAAAAGGAACGACAGCTGTTGACCCGTCGGGTTGGAGACGCATGATGTGTTGCCAATCTCCCAGACAAAACAATACACGAAACAGCAAGAGCACAAAAAAAACAAAAAAAATTACCTTGAACTTAGGCTTGAGCTCCTCCACGAGGCCGATGCGTGCCCCGGAGTTGGACGAGATGTAGATGCGAGGGAGGCCCAGCTTGCGAGCGTACTCAGAGGCGGCCAGGAAGAAGTCGTCCTGCACACGCACCACACACGACACACGACACACCATGGGGGTAGATGAATAAGTAACATAAAATAAATAATAGTTGTAAGTAAATACAGAAATAAACAATAAGTACAAGTAAATAAATAGATGAGTGGGTGAAGAGGGGCGTGCTAATGTTCTGCGTGCCTTAGCTGTTAAGACCATTGGTCACGCGTGCTCGAGAGGACGGGGTGGGGTGGGTGGAGGGGGCGTTTCAGCGAGCATGTTCACCGCGCGAAGACGAGCGCGCGTGCGCGGACAAAATTCTAACGAGGCAGTAACAAGAGGAAGGTGTGCCTGAATGCTGGACTTGGGGGGGCAGAGTCGTCCTCAACATACGATAATAGTCCCTGGTGGATCCTAGAACTAACGCGAAGCTTTGTGGAAAGTCTATACAATACCTTGAGAAAAAACCAATCATGTCAGCCGGAACAACAACCCTCATCTCAATCGCTTGCTGTGGTATTACCTCGAACAAGCAGCAAGTCTTGTGGGCTGGCATTTTTTCCAGCGGTATGGTAAACAGCATTTTTTCCAACAGCTAGTTTTTTCTGCGATTGTTACTTACGCATTCCTCCTCAACAATAAAAAAAAAATGCTAAAGGGAAGAAAAAAAAAAAAATCCTAAAGGGAAAAAAAAAAAAAATGCTAAAGGGAAAAAAAAATCCTAAAGGGAAGAAAAAAAAATCCTAAAGGGGAAACAAAAAAAAAAATCTTCTCCTTCCTTTGTTACACTACACACCTCGGCAACTCCGAAGGAACCGGACTGGAAGGTGACGTCGTTGGCGATGATGACGATCTCGCGGCCCTCGGGGTACTCGGGCGTCCGCATCATCACGTGCCAAGCGAGCATGCCGACCTTGTTGGTGCCAACCACCCGGAACTGCTTCTGGAGGGTGCCGTCTGACTGCAGGACCAGCTCGTCGGACTCGAAGAGCTGTGATAGTGGGGTGAGCGCAACGCGGCAAGTAGCAAATGCCAACAATGGAGAGCGGGGTGGGGTTAACAAAGAGAGAAATAGGCGGAGAGAGAGGTGGGGGGAGGGGGGGGGGGGGGCAGAGACGGAGAGAGGGAGGGCGAGAAGAGATAATTGAGGCAGACAGCCAGAGAGATATACGGAGACACGGAAAGAGAGAACAAAGGCCGACAGAGAGACAGAGAGAGAGACAGGGACAGGGACAGGGACAGAGAGGGAGAAACAGAGAGAGAGACAGCGAAGTGCAGAGAGAGCGAGAGTGGGGAGAGCCAACAATCGAACACCTGGTCCATTTCTCTCTTGTTCGTTTTCTGTCCAACGGCCCACTTCTTTGTCATCTCACCTGCCCAGGCATGGAGGTGTAGGCAGGGGTACCAGAAGCGCCGGCGGCATCCTTCAGCTCCGACAGGAACTCGCTCCACATGCCGATCTGGGGGTTGCGTAGTAAGCCAGGGCGGGGGAGGGGGGGGGGGGGCCCCCCCCCAAAAGTGGTGTACACGAAACGAGAGGGTGATGATCTGCAGAGGAGGGAACGTCATTGAAATCCGACACATTAATATCAAAAATACAACAAGTAATGAGGGACATCGACCGGGTCTACGGGGTGGGTTGGTGGTTGATGTTCCCATTCGGGCGGTGTAACTTGCACCACGGTACCGCAGCAGAGAAGGAGGCGAGCATCACACACAAGAGAACGAACGCACGACAAACACAAATTGGGGATGATAGCCGCAAAAGACGACAACTCACCAGTCCCACTTCCATGAGCCCCAGGAAGTCAGGGGCGTACGTCGTGCCGATGCGGCGGGCGGCGGCGCGGCGGATCTGTGCCGTGGAAAGGGAAGCACGGCAGCAGCAGCAGCGGCAGTGGGGACAAGGAAGGGGTGACGTCGAGCGAACAGTCAATCCAAGAGCAAACAACAACATCGAGAACAAACACAACAAAACATGCGTACTTCTCCTCCGCCCCCCCCCCCCCTAACCCCCCTGTCAGGGCAAGCGCCGTATTTTCATTCCACACTTCCGTATGTCCTGCTCATGTCTTGAAGTGTGTAGCCGTGCAGTCTCCCGGAGGTTCCGCAGGGGGGCAACGTGAATTTAATCGGTAAGAATCGGAGACCTCAACTGTGATCAGAAACGGCGTCCTTTTTTACGACTTTTTTTGTCGGCCATGAAATTCTGAAATCGGTGTTTTCGGCGATCGCCTTTTGTACGGGGGAAGAGCCTGCATTTGATTGGCTAGCTGGTTGGTGCGCGCAAAACACAAAAAACACGAAACACGCTCTCAAAAAGACACGAAAAAAAAAAAACGGGCTGCCTTCCTAAAATAAGTATGAACTGACCTGCACGGAGTTGCTAGCGGGGTAGGGGTTGAGCATGCAGATGTCCCCTCCCTGTGTGAGGGAGCACCACTGCTTCGTGACGCCGGTGATGGGGTCGGGGTACTCTTGGAAGCCGTCCACGCGGAGCCATTGGCCGGACATGGAGCTCGCCATCAGGCGGACCGGGGTGATTTTCTTCAGGTTCATCCGGGCGACAAAGAGAAGGAGAGCAGGGAGGGCGAGGACGATGTTGATTTTCTTACGTTGGACATTGAAAAAAAAATGGTAAAATATGCAAGGGTGTTCTTTACTGAATCTTATGTTTTTTCGGGGTTAACGAGGAAAGGTCGTGTTGTTGTCTTCACATGAAAAAACGCTCCGGTCTCTTCTCACTACCTTCTAACTAATGCATGGGGCAAGACAAAGCATCAAACAGACGTGTACGCAAAAAACGCCGAAAAAGTGTTTGCTTCCGTTCCTTCCTTCCCTTGTAACGAAAAAGTCGGGGGAACACGCGAAGGAAGCCTCAAAAGGGTTTGGGATTTGGATTGTAGCCAGTGTCAACGGTATTGTGGAGTAATTCCCTTAGGAAAGTGCGGGATGCGGGAGATGTAACTCCCGATGGAAGGATAAAACAGGGGACAGGACCTTTGTGGCCCCTTGCCGAGGGAGCATGTCCTCCCCCTCTGTGCTCAGTCTACCTTTGAGAGCAAAGCAACAGCAAGCCCTGCTGTTCCAAGAGATCACTCTAAAAACTAGTGAGTCCTCTTTATCATGCAGGGTCTTCAGGGGTCGCTTACGTGTGTAATCTCACAACATTTGGCGTCGTCGGCAGGATCGCCGCCCGATGATTCGGCACGTACATTCGTGCCGATGATCATCAGCTCGCGTGTGTTCATGGGTTCTGCCTGTTTGTTTTTTTATGTGTGTTGTTCCGGTTGAGATGTGGGTCTGCAGATTGCCGACTTCGGGTTGGTACGGTATCGCCCTGATCACCGCCCACCGCACCCTCACCACCATCGGACCAGAAACATGCGCCGCCCGCCCACCGCCTCGCCCTCATCATCACTCACCCCGCTGCTCTCGTCGGGAGAGATGCGCGCCTTGACCTCGATCTCGTCCACCCGGAGCTTTAGCAGGCGGGTCGCGTGCCTCGAGATCATGGTGTCCATGACGTTCTTCCACTCCGCCACCACGTCGCCGGGCACAGCGTTGAGCTCGGGCATCATGTGCAGGAAGATGCGGGAGGAGCAGGCCGGGTTCACCCTCGAGTCGAGCATCGCTCGCTCCAGCTCGTCCATGGCCATCAGCAGAGCCTGCGCCAGTCGGTCGGGTCGACGATGGGGCAGCAATTTGAGCAAATAAGTGATCCGCGAAATTCCGTGGAAGAGTTTCGCAGAAACTCGAGACAGGTGAAGGGGTGCGACTTCGTGCAACAACGCAAAAAAAACAAAAACACCCCTATTATAATAGCAGACAGGCACAACAACCCAAAGAACCAACCAAACATGCCCGAGAGAGAGAGAGAGAGAGCCGTGAAACCGTCAAAAAAAGGGAGAAGGAACAGCAACAAACACACGCATAAAAAAAAAAGGGCGGGGGGGGGGGGAGGGGGGACCCCCGTCCTTGATGCACAAACCAGGAATGAAACGTCGACACAAAAACAGTCTGGAAAAGACCCATCAGCAGAGCCTGTCGACGGGTAGTATCGGCGGAGATACACAGCTGCAACGATCGTTGGCGCTACATACCAACCCCGGGGCTGCGCGAACACGTGGCAGACACCCACGTCTTCTGCGGTGGCCCCCCCGCCATACAGCTAGCGGCTACGGTTCACACGAGAGAATATTCACGAGAAAATCCGAATACAATGAGCGTTAACTTGCTTGTCACGACCATGACAAAGGCACATGTATCACACGGCAGAACGGTTCAAGACAAGACCGGATTCAGAGGGAGTGTTGCTGGCTTGTACCGACCATGACAAAGGCACATGTATCACACGGCAGAACGGTTCAAGACAAGACCGGATTCAGAGGGAGTGTTACTGGCTTGTACCGACCATGACAAAGGCACATGCACTACGCAGCAGCGTGGCTAAAGAGGAAACCGGATTCAACAGAGTGTTGTTGGCTTGCAACAACTTCCTCATAAAAAAAACGTAGCCGCTGCTGCTGTACACTCGCGGTCCCGGCTTAGCGGTCCATAGTGCCACAAAATGTTTTGGCCGCTGTTAATATACTAGTTTGAGTACCGAGGTGTAGCCGTGCGACAAGATTTTTCTCAGATGTTGGAACCGCTCTTCAGGGCATCCCGCTAAACACGGAACCGTCAAACCGGGACCACGACCGTACCTGGTTAGCGCCTTCCATGGTGTACGTCTCCGGGCGGTGCGAGATGGCCCTGAGGAACAGAGTCTGCGGGGTGGCGCGCTTGAGCGCTCCGCCACGCTCCACGCCGAGGTAGATCTGCAACCCCGGTCGGTCCAGTTCGTGTGTTGTCACGCAGACACAGACGAAGGAGAGAGGGCAAGGGAAAAGGGGTAGTGATTAGAGTGGTTCGATGGCAAACGATGGAGGGGTGGGGGTGGGGGTGGGGCTGGGT